ACTCAGCTTGCAGAGTTCATGGCTCTCCTCGGTGGCTTCCAGGCCTCATGAAGTGTATGACCTACTCATGACAAACCGTTGATTGGTATGTTTGCTGACCGTTGAAAGAATTGTACATCAACAGAGAGGACGAGGAAGATGGTATCTTCACAGATAGTGAGGATCGCAAACTCCAGTGTCTCACAGCACACCGAGTTGGTATGTGTCTATCCTTTCCCCTTTCCCTATAGTACAGGGCGATGACGTTCATCTTTGCGGTATCATTCGTTGAACTGACTGAACAGTTTTACTACACGTTAGGAAAGCTGACAGCATCTTCCAAAACAAACCTGGAAGAGATGATTTCCAGGGAATTCCGTTCCCTGGCCCTGTACTTCATCTTGACGCAATCACCTCTCTCCATCACGGTCGCTCCTCTGGCAATCGACACGAACCACAACCTCAGCGAACCTGGCGGGAACATGATCAATGCCGAATAGGTCAGTTCCTTCAAAGTAGACCTGCTGTGCCTCTTGAATATTGACTAACACTCGCACATTCTAAGTGAAACCTCATCGACGTTCCTCAAAATGGTCCTTCAACTTCTCGAAGACACGGCTAAGACTGTTCTACAAATGGAGAAGAGTTCCTGAAAGAATTCTTTCTAGACTATATACTGCTAGGAGTACCAAACTCTCCTATGCGGATCACTGGTCCCCAGAACATAAAGACAAAAAAGCGCAGTGCTTCTTTAAGCATCATCCAAGCTTTCTCGTTGTCTCCTTCTTTGCACGGGACCTGCATTCGCAGCAATTGATAAGGAGGGTGCTAGCAGCACACCTTGAAGCACCAAGCAATCAAAGCTCGATTCACAACTACTTACTCCGACCTTGTTCAAACGGCACCAAGAGACGGTACTGGTTGACTGGCTATCTCAGACAGAGGTTCCAGAGCTACCAGTCCTTCAACCGATACAACTGCTTGCTAGCATCAACATCGGCAACCTCGACTTCCAGGTGGCAGTCTTAAGCCACTATCACCGACCTTCTCACCCTCTTATCCACTCACCTCCTTCTCCAGGACTCTGACTCATACCCTCTTATGTTCAACATCAATCCAATATCATACCTTGCCGTCATGGACCACTCTTCAATATGAAGCTGAGTGTGCATTTTCGATGCAGTGTCAACCAGAACCCTCCAGTGAGTATGATTCTTTCTAGCTATTCCTATCCATGGTTTCTTTTTACTGATTCAAAAAGCTCATCTCAGGACGCTCGCAACCTAGATTCTTCGTCGGTCTCCTAGAATGACATGCAACAGAACAGAAACGAAAACAAGAATACAAGAAAAATTAAAGATAAAAAGAACAAAAGAAAAGAAAATAGAAGAAAACATACACACGCAGAGGAGCAAACCTCACCCGAGAAAAACAAATGAAATAATATAAAATAAAAATAAGAGAAAAAAGAAAATGGAAAATGGAAAAGGGCAAGCACCAAAAAACAACAAACCAACCTCCTCAGATCCCAATACTCCTGCTCTCGACAGAAAAACATCGTGGACGCTCCGGACTTCGGCCTCTCAACTTGGACATCCTCACAACAATTGATACAAGCAACGAACAAACGGACGGGCCTCCCTGGCTCTTCCAGACTGAGTGGAAAGCAGCAGCAGGTTCCATCGATCCGACTCCTGGTCTTCTCTCGCCTCTGTAATCTACAGACTGCGTTGGACGAACGGGACGGCGTGAGTTCCTCAGTCGTGCTATTCCACTCAGTCACGCCAGAGGCACTCCAGCTGCCCGGCTTACAGGCTGGGTGAGATGCAGCAGCAGGTTCCATCGATCCGACTCCTGGCCTTCCAATGCCTTCGTCACCTTTGACGACGCAGCGGACGGACGGGGCGGCGTGAGTTCCTCAGTCATGCCATCGACTCAGTCAAACCGCAGCGGAGAAGCCACAGGCCGAGTGAGATGCAGCAGCAGCAGGTTCCACCGATCCGACCCCCGGCCTTCTCTCGCCTCTGTCATCCTTGACAGACTGCGTTGGACGGACGGGGCGGCGTGAGTTCCTCAGTCGTGCCCATCTCACTCACTTGCAACAAAGCCACGAGGCCCGTCCAGCTACTCGACTTACCGGCTGAGTGAGAAGCAGCAGCAAGTTCCATCGATTCCGAACCCGGCCTTCTCTCGCCTCTGTCATATTTGACAGACTGCGTTGGACGGACGGGAGGCGTGAGTTCTTCAGTCGTGCCCATCACTCAGCCAACCAAGAGAGTCCAAGTTGATCAATACCGGCTGAGCGGGAAGCAGCAGCAGGTTCCATCGATTCCGAACCCGGCCTTCTCTCGCCTCTGTCATATTTGACAGACTGCGTTGGACGGACGGGAGGCGTGAGTTCTTCAGTCGTGCCCATCACTCAGCCAACCAAGAGAGTCCAAGTTGATCAATACCGGCTGAGCGGGAAGCAGCAGCAGGTTCCATCGATCCGACTCCTGGCCTTCCAATGCCTTCGTCAGCTCTGATGACGCAGCGGACGGACGGGACGGCGTGAGTTCCTCAGTCGTGTGATCTCGCTCAGCCGGTGTCCGAGTCCATGCAAAAGAACGATGTTCAAATCTGATGCAGCATGGGGTTGATTCGTTGTTTTTTCTGAATATTCTTCGTCATTCATTCTTCATCAAGAGAAGAAAACTGTCTCAAGTCCGCACATCCTACTCTCCAGTCCTGGCCTAGCCCGTCAACATACCACGTCCTCAAGCAACAAAGAATATATTGGAGAAATTTTCCAAACTACGCAGTGAAAACATACCACGCATGAAGGCATTCCCACCAGTCCAACTTCCTTTCTCCAAGTCTCCGATGACGGAAAATGCCATATATATCATCCATCACACCAACACATGATACATTGTCTGCGTACGGCTGGAGATGTAATGCCTATCGTATACAACATTGTCCATGCAATCAGGCAATCATGCTTACTGGCTACTCACTGAGAACTACAACCTTCCTACCAAAAATCCCTATAGCTGCAGCTACTAGGCCTGGCTTCAATCACAAGTATCCCACGGCATATGAACTCGGCCTTTGGCTAACACAAAGTCAACAAGGACTGAGGCGTACCGGGCTCATGACCTGCTTGCAGAATTTATGTTCGTCGTCAGAGAGACAATCTTGGCTAATATTACTGTCTCTGTGCAGCTCTAAGACCTTCAAATGGAATCAGAGATTCCAGAGACACTCGAGCAGCTTAAATACCACTTGTTAGCCAAGCACACCATTCATACATGTTTTCGCAGCGATGTCGATTCTACCTTCTCCAAGATAAGGTACTTCAGATCATCCGCAACGCCAGACTCTTTACCAACAATGTCCAGCGACATGACATGTTCTGCAGTCGATTCCATCACACTGGATCTGATCTTGGGATTGATTGACGAAAATCGTCCGGATTGATGTGTCCTTGGACGTCATCTTCCAATTCGGAGAAATGAACGGTTCGAATATCTGTTACTATTTCATCCTGTCTTGTCTTGTTCTTGCCCTTGTACTTGTTGTATGATATCTCCTCCAATGAATCAAGGACTTGTGTCTGCATCTGGATGATACTTTTGTGTACTTTCATACCAACTCTTACTATATGTATCACCAATGAAAAATCTACTTTGGGTACACAACCATCCTATTCTACCTACTAAATGAATGATATGATACAGATGCAGCAGCAACTAGACATAAATGCTGCACGGTGCTTGTCCTCTCACCATCTTCTTCGAGATAATCCTAAGGAATCTGAGGCTCCAAATATCCCCTCTACATCAACAACTCTTCGAGATCCTCGAAAGCGGAACCGAATCCCTACCACACTTCCTTTCTTCCAGATCCCACTACTCTGCACATATTATTCTCTCACCAGTCAAGCCTCCTTGCATATTCGAGTATATTGAATAAAATCTCCAGTGGTCTATTCCGATCGTCCACAATACATAATACCTAGAACAAAATTCCGGGTTCCATCTAGCAAGAAAGCATCCTCCAGTGAGAGAACGAGACAGGTATCAACACAAACTCCACAGACCCGAAGAATCATCCCGCACCTCACTATAATGTCGAAGGAAGAAGAACTTCCACCATGGCCGTGCGTGTCCTCAGTGTCTGTGTTTACTATGTCTAGCATGTTGGATGCTAAGAGGATCATGTTTGGTTGGTGGTTGGTGGTTGGTGGGTGGGTGGATGTCATGGCTACGGTGCCATTTCTGTGTTGGGGTGATGGAACACAATTCCTACTGATTTTGAGTGATGAAGGTTATAGGATTAATTCCTTGTTACTGTTATTGGACTGGTGTGTCTAGGTGTGGATTTAATTATTGTGAGAAGGGGGGAGATGTCTTGTGTCTGGGAATGGAAGGGTATGGGATGAAGTGGGATGATGGAAATGAATCAAGTCAAGTCAATTCTTATTATTATATCTAATTGAGCATTCTATTGTAGATTGCAGGAGAGTAGGTGATTAAGAGGGTTTGACTTTGAGATTGGGATTCAGACGAATCTTGTCTACACTGGTTCTATTTCTTTGGATAAAAGAATGGAACTGAGTCAGTTAGATGTACTGTTGTGGTCTGCTTGATCTTTTATAAATTAGGATATCTAACTACTATTCTGTTTGTGTCTTACTGCTTGAACTAAAGTAGTGAATGTCAAATTACTCGTGTATTGACTAGCTGTCAAGGGGAAGGGGGTATAACTGCGACTAAATACTCACTCCAAACGCCATTCCAAACATCCATCCTAATCTCAACCAACAACTACTTTTCCCGCGGCTCCACAAATGATCCAAGAACATCTCATAGACCGACGACCGGAAAGCCTTGCTATGCATGCAATCCGTCCTTCCAAACAGAGACATAGGAAAAGCAGTCAACGAATGTACCGCACCAAATATTCATAGCTTCATATCCCGTAATCACCATTATCGTTAGCACTCATATAAAGGAACTAGCTGCAGTGTATATGGTCAGTCACGCAATGATGCCTGACCCAGAGGTTCCTGATCCCCAGCGGATACGTTTGAGACCACCTCGGACTGCTTCTTGGCCACAGCCCGCCGCTGCTCGGCCGGGAACGCCAGTATCGCCCGCCACGGTCATTCCCGTGCTGGCCTCCAAGCGTCCGACTTCGCGGCCCAGCACGTAGCCGGCGGAGAAGCTGATGGCTGAAAATAGGACGACAACACCCGCGCTGATCACCCAGGTCATGACGGTGGGACTGGCAGTCGAAGCATCCGCTATGCTGGCTCGACGGCCCTTCTTTGCAGAGGAGTGGCTACGTTCTTTGGAAGGGCTGGACCGCCGCTTGGCTCGAGGGGCCGACTGGACATCGCGGGGTGAGTATGCGGCCGGCTGCGGAGTGGGTCCCTGCCGCGGGGTCCGAGTGGGGACAGTCGCTTCCGTCCCTACGGCTTCCTCGCCAACTTCTCCTCCCATCGCTACTGACTCCGGTACTAAGCGGAAGGAAGATGGGTGGCCTCGAGAAGGACTGGCCTGTGACGGGGGAGGGTCGGATTTGGGCAGACCGCGGGCCGCAGCGGCACAGGAGAGCAATGTGGAAAGACTGGCACGCAGAGCGGCGTCGTGATCCGCGTGGTGGGACGGTGAGATCATATTGAATGGACTATGTTGCTGGGAGGATCTCCGTGCGGAGCGTATACTTGCTTGAGAGTTTCTGCGGATCGCTGTGCGACGGCTGGAGTTGGACACCTCACTGGGCTGTGAGCGGTGTCCTCCGGTAGGCCTCCAAGAGGTGTTCTGAGATGCAGGTGGGTGCGAGAAGACGTTGGGCTGAGGAACAAAGGGAGCTGAACCCATACGCATTCCCAACGCCGTCGAGTTGTCATCATCATCATCCTCATCGCTGGCATCATCGGAAGCGGTCGAAGAGGGGCCAGGTCCCGGGACGAACGGGGTAGGTAAAGCTTGACGGACCATGTCCTCGTTCGAACTGCTGAGGACGCGGTCCGACTCGCTCTCACTCTCCTCGTATTCGTCTTGGCTGCTGCTTTGTTCGCGGGACGAGTAATCGACTTGGGCGGTGGTGACGGCAGCCAGCCGCTGCAGACGACGCCGTCGGCTGCGATGGTATGCACCGGCTTCATCCTGCTGGACGCGCAGACCCGTGGTGATAATATCGTCGTTGGTGCCGGCGGAGGAGAGGGAAGAGGAGGAGGGCTGTGAGGAGACCTCGATCCAGGAATCTATATAATAACGTAGTGAGTACATGGTGGTGGTACAAGCAATAGTGACTTTTGAAAGAGGACTGGCAATGCATGCAGATCGGAGTGAATGAAGATGCAGGGGAAAGGTGCAGACATGCCAGGCGTAGGGCAAATATCTGGAGAAAACCAGGATGACGCACCTTCGGATCTCGTGGGCGCAACAGCAGCAGGCGACCGGGACTGCTGGAAGGCGTGAGGCTCGCGCGACGGCGGCTGATGGGCTTCTCGCGTCAGTCGCCCGACCGATCGAGGGTCATCGTGCACCTGACCCAGTAGGTCATAGTGGTTGGGTTGCATGATGTGAAGAGGAAGGATAAGGGGAGAGGGAGAGTGACGAGAGGGGGTGGGAGGAGGAGATGAAGCAGTAGAGTAAGGAAAGAAGAATAAATAAGAAGGTAGAAGTAGAAGCAGCGGTGATGAGATGAGATGGGATGAGATGAGATGAGTGACCAGGCAGGCAACACACGGTCAGTCAATCCTCAGACCACGGGGAATGCAAGCGGACCGTTCAGCTCATACGCTGAGCGGTCAGAAAAGGGCGGGGTTTGGGATGCAACAGTTCAGTTTTGAATGGTTGATTGGGGGGAGGATCCGTTTAGATTATCTTATCAGTACTTAAGTGGGCAAGTGGATGCTGGCAGTTACCGTGAAGAAGAAAGCATGGATGAAATTGTAGGTTGAGTTAGGTTTAAGTTCCCTGTCAGTTCTCCAGCATCCAACCTGGAGTTCAATAAAAGAAGATACCTTCTGCTGCTGCTGCTGCTTCTTCTTTCTATTCACTCAGGTTGAACGGGATAATCCAAGAACAACAATAGACGCGAGCAACAAGCGAGAGAGACGGGGAGAATAAGAAGGGGGAGGCGAGCACGAGGGCTGGTCCATCATCCGACCCTCAACCAGCCTTTTTCCCACCTGCACAGCTGACTTGTCCCCCCGCTGCCTCTTCCCGCTGATAGATCCACCATCACGCACTCGCAGCAGATCTGGTCGATCCGTGCCACCCCATTCACCCAAACAAAGACAGCCTTTAAGAGAAGAAAAAAAAAGAAAACTAGAAAAGTAACATCATTCTGGTCATAGCCATTCATTAAATTGGTATGGTATGCTACCTAGATAAAACAGGCACATAGCTACCTAGCTACCTAGCTAGCTAGCGTGACATAATGCAGACAACTTTTGGGGTACCAGAAACAGTGAGGAATAATGACAATAACCCCGGAACCATAACCCATTGCCCAAAACAAAAAGCAGTCTAGAAAAACATAGGTATACGTCGGTTAGTACTCTTACACACTGACTTAGAAGGTGACCTTGGTGCCCTTGTACTCGGGGATACCACCGCGAGCCTTGTTGGGGGCACCACCACCGCGGCCACCGAAGCCACCACGGCCACGGCCACCACGGTCACCGAAACCGCCACGACCACCGCCACGACCGCCGAAGCCGCCACGGCCACCACCGCGACCACCGCCGCCGCCGCCGTTGTTGGCACGGGGAGTGCTGAAGTCCAGACGCACCGGGCGTCCGAGCAGGTCAGCACCCTGGAGCTCGTTGAAGGCAGCGCGGGCCTCGTCGACGGAGGAGTACTGGACGTAGCCGAAACCCTTGGGGCGGCCAGAGTCGGGGTCGGTGGGCAGACGGATACCGAGGATGCTACCCTTCTCACCGAACAGCTCGCCGACGGAGTCCTCGTTGGCGTCGAAGGGAAGGTTTCCGACGAAGAGGGTGTCACTCTCGGGGCTGGCCTGGTCACCGAAGGAACGGGCACGAGCGTTGGCGCGGTCCTTGAAACCACCCTGCTGGTCCTTGTTGGCGGGACGGCCAGTGGCATAGTCCAGGTTGATGACACGTCCGTCGATCTCAGCACCCTTCTTGGCCTCGAAAGCCTTGGCGGCATCGACGGCGTTGGTGTACTCAACGTAACCGAAACTGAAAGAGTTTAGCAATAGCTTGATGAATATGGAAGACGGAAGTACTCACCCACGAGAGCGGCCAGTGTCACGCTCAGTCATGATACGAACACCGGAGAGCTCACCGAAGCTCTCGAACTCGGACTGGAGCCAGGCCTCATCGACGTTCCAGGACAGGTTACCGACGAACAGGTTGGCGGAAGCACCAGGAGCAGGGTCCTCAGTCTTGGACTTCTTGGGGGTAGCGGAGGTCTCCTCCTCAGCCTTACGCTTCTTGGAGGGCTTCTCGCTCTCCTCAGACTCAGAGTCAGAGTCGGAGTCGGAAGAGTCGGAGTCAGAGTCAGAAGAGTCGGAAGACTCCTGGGAACGTTAGCATCAAACTGTTAAGTGAAAGGAATAGATGGCATACCTTCTCGGCCTTCTTCTCCTTAGTCTCCTCCTCGCTCTCAGAGTCAGAGTCGGAGTCAGAGTCGCTCTCGCTGGACTCCTTCTTGGCGGCCTTCTTGGGGGCCTCCTCCTCAGACTCAGAGTCGGAGTCGGAGTCAGAAGACTCAGACTCGGACTCGGCCTTCTTGGTCTCCTTCTTAGCAAGCTTCTCATCCTCGGACTCGGAGTCAGAGTCTGAAGACTCAGACTCAGAGTCGCTGGACTCAGCCTTCTTAGCAGCCTTCTTGGGCTCCTCCTTGGTCTTCTTGGCAGGCTTCTCCTCCTCGCTCTCGCTGCTAGAGGCGTCGTTCATCTCCTCATCGCTGTCAGAGTCGGAAGACTCAGACTCGGACTCGGAAGACTCGGACTCGGACTCAACCTTCTTGCCCTTCTTCTCGGTCTTCTTGGCGGGCTTCTCGTCCTCACTCTCGCTGCTGGAGCTGGAGTCGGAGGCCATCTCCTCGTCGCTGTCGGACTCGGACTCGGAAGACTCGCTGGGAGTAGGCTCCTTCTTCTTCTTCTTGTCCTTCTTCTCCTTGGAGGCAACCTCACGAGCAATCTGCTTGCTCTTGGCCTTGGGGGACTGGGAGGACTTGGTCACACCAGCAGACTTGACCTTGCTAAGGGTCTTGTCAACCGGCTTCTCAGAGCCCTTCTTGGTAACGGACTTGGTCTTGGACATTTTGATCTGAAGGGAACAGTGGTTAGTCCAAGAGACAATAGACAGAGTAATAGGAAGAAGGGAAGAGACGAACCAAATAAACTGTAAACTAAGCAAGTATACAGAGAAAAGCTAGGAATGTGCGGCAGATCTTATAATCCCACAATCACCCGATTTGTAATGGAAATTTTCAAATACCCACAGGTAACCCACAACGACAGTGTCTAAGCCCACACGAGACGACAGGGAAGCTACCGTCTATGATATGAAACCCACGAGAGTATCCCACAGATCCCACAGAATAGATGTAGTATGCTACAGCCCACAGCCCTCAATGCAAGAAGCCCACAGAGTGTCTGTTGAAGCGCACCGTTAGATATGCAATGAAAAGAGATGAACACTTAGTTGAAGAGACAACCAAGTGAAGAAGAGTGATAGAAAAATGATGGAAAAAGGTGAAGGGGAAGAGTAGGACAGGAATGAAGGAAGAAGAAAAAATCCCAGCTGGGGAGCAGCTCTGATAAGGCGACTGAACGCAAAAAAAAATTTGGAGGCTGGCAGAAAAAAATCAACAGCACCTACCGCCTGCTGCAGCTAGGCTAGCCCAGGAACTAAGTGGGGAACTGGCTGGGAGACTAACCCGACTGGGCCCGACTCCGACCGGTCCTCTCATTGGTCCACCGGCAGACCGTTGGAACCAGAGTGTCCCTCCGCAGTCAACCACATCCAGCCAGTCCACTAACTATCGACTCCAACTACCTGTCATTCATTTGGACCTGTCACGGTTGCTCGACATTTACACGCAGTCAATGGAACTCTTTTGAATTGGTCCATTGCTCGTGAATCATGGCGCCTCCCCCGTCCTCTTACCGTCCGCGGAAGAAGAGAAAGCTTCCCTCGTCTTTCGCCGGCTCTAACAATTCTCTCATTGTTGACGCTGGAGGGAAAGCCTCCCCAGCTTTCCCATTGGTGTCTTTCCTCTGGTCTGCTCGCGCTGGTGTCTCACAATGGCTCGTTCTACCCTTGATATTGATGGCAGTGGGATTGTTTCGCTGGGCTGTCAGTTTGTGGGGATATTCTGGTACGCAAATCACTGCCATCTCCTATACCCAGGCACCACATACTAACGGTTACAGGCTTCGGAGTACCCCCTATGCATGGTGACTTTGAAGCACAGAGGCATTGGATGGAAATCACGACTCATCTGCCCATCTCCAAATGGTACCTGTACGATCTGCAATACTGGGGTTTGGACTACCCGCCGTTGACTGCATACCACAGCTGGTTGCTTGGAAAACTGTACGTCATGCTGCTCCGATTGGTCGTGCTTATAGACTGACTGAACAGTGGTTCTCTCTTTGATCCCACATGGTTTGCCCTGGACCAGTCCCGTGGCATTGAAGATCCCTTGTTGAAGGTGTTCATGCGCGGAACAGTGATTGCTTCGGAATACCTTGTCTACATCCCGGCCGTCGTTACCTTCCTGCGCCGCTTCACTCGCATGCAGAGCGTTCCGGTTTGGTCTGCTTCAATTGCCCTCACTGCGATCCTCCTACAGCCCGCAATCATTCTCATCGACCACGGACACTTCCAATATAACACGGTGATGCTGGGTTTGGTTGTTGCGAGCTTGGATGCCATCTTGGCTGGACGCATGCTATGGGCCTGCATCTTCTTCGTGGGTGCTCTTGGTTTCAAGCAGATGGCCTTGTACTATGCTCCGGTCATGTTCGCCTTCCTCCTTGGTGTCTGCATCTTCCCCAAGATTCGCCCCCTCCGTCTCATCTGCATTTCTCTTGTCACCCTTGTCGCATTCGCTGTCCTGCTTGCACCAATGCTCATTGGGGCGATTGGAATCGAGGCGCAAGCAACCCTGGCATATGCCCCTCCGCCTCCTCTTCTGCAGATTCTTCCGGTCGAGCTGGACAAGAATTCGGTGCTTTATGCAGTCATCTTCCAGCTGACTCAAATTATTCACCGCGTCTTTCCCTTTGCTCGTGGTCTGTTCGAGGACAAGGTTGCTAATGCGTGGTGTGCCATCCATACGTTTTACAAACTTCACCGCTTCGAGGCCACTCTGCTCCAACGCATGTCCCTTGGAGCGACGCTGGCATCCATTGCTGTTCCCTGCGCCATCATCTTCCGTCACCCGCGCGCATCGCTACTTCTCCCAGCCCTGTCAAGTGTAGCCTGGGGCTTCTTCTTGTTCTCATTCCAGGTGCATGAGAAGAGTGTTCTCCTCCCCTTGCTCCCCATGACTCTTCTCCTGGCTGGAGATGGCGGACTAAGTAGAGAGACTCGGGCCTGGGTGGGCTGGGCCAACATGCTGGGCTCGTGGACCATGTATCCTCTTCTGCAGCGTGACGAACTTCGGATTCCCTACTTCGTTATGACTTTGCTTTGGGCCTACCTGTTGGGACTCCCTCCAACTTCGTTTGGAACATTCCGCCGCCGTGCCTCTTTGGAAGACACCACCCCGGGCGCCGAGCTTCATGTGCTGACCAAACTTCTGCACGCCTGCTTTTACCTTGCTATGATTGCATGGCACGTTCTTGAGGCCTTTGTGGCACCCCCTCCTGGCAAGCCGGATCTGTGGGTGGTGCTGAATGCCCTCATCGGTGCTGGAGGCTTTGGAATTGCATATCTGTGGTGTTTCTGGAAGCTGATCCAGCAGTGCCGCAGGATCGACCAGAAGGCAGCCGAGGAAACGGAGAAGAAGAACCAGTGAGGTTGCTGGCGGTGATTTCCTTTCAGTCTACTTGATTCTCTCGTGATACCCATTTTGATGTTCGGGACTGCCTTGGGCAAATCTTATCGGCGATAGACTGCGCGTTGTGCTTCTTGCGCCTGGCAGAGATAAAAGCGGTTGCTTAAGCCTTCGATTCATACAATATTCCCAGAACATAATGACATAGATAATATACATTTATTGCACAAGAAGGGAGATGCTCCACGTCGGACGATGACCTATACAATACATGTAACCCAGAATAAACCCATAACCGAACACCATATTTGCATGCGCTGAACTCTATGTATCATCCTCGTTGTGCAGTTGTCCCGGCAGCAGTCGGGTATGGTGCAGCTTAGACCTTGAAGCCGTAGCCGGCCATGCAGGCCTTGTACTGCTCGATCAAGGGCTTGCACTCCTGTGTGGGGTCGTCGGTCTTGGAGAAGAGCATGCAGTCATCGCGGGCGGTCTTTTCGGTCTTGCAAACGCAGCATGGCTGTGACTGGGTCAGGACATTCTGGACTGATTATTTGCGTCGCATGGTCATGAGCGTACCTTGGGCTTTTCCGCGGGCGCCGACTCGGCAGGAGCAGGGGCAGCAGCCTTCTCAGCTGTTGTTAGGGAGAATTGTCAGCTCTGAAAGACTCCGATATACTAGCGAGACAAGAGGTATGGAGCATGCGGCGAGCATGGATGGGAGATACATACTGTTAGAGGAACCGAACAACCACGACATGATGAAGGAATAAATTCAACTGAAGAAACAGACTCAGTGAAGGACAATGGACAGAGAGCGACAGGATAGACGATGAAAGCGAACAGCAGTCGGAGGCAGAGCAAGACGAAAAGATGCTGAATAATGATGCGATTGCCCGGAAACGGCGGAGATGGTGTCTGCAGTCGGCCGGAGCGGCGGTCGGGGAAAATTTATGGGAACAAACGGAAATAATTGGGTTGTCAGGGGAATGCTGCATCACGGCCCGCTGCTTCATCAAGTCTTTCTTTCTTTCTTCACTTTTTGCCCCTCCACGGTCGCATTGCCTCCCACGCTCATTGTCTTTGCTTTTCCTGCTACTCTTCAGCCGTTGCTTACAAGGATCTCCATCGAGTCCTGCTACTTTGATTCTTTTGCACCCTTTCTGCATCGCACTGTGCAATTCCACCCCTGAAATTTACCCCACCATGGCCCCTCCAAAGGTCTTCTCTATCGAGGGCAAAGGCCTCAAGCTCGATTCCGCTGAGGATATCGAGACTCACATCAAGCCTCTCCTCGAAGCTACCGACTACACTGAGATCCGCTTCGGAGGAAACACTCTGGGTGTTCCTGCTTGCGAGCGTCTCGCCGCTGTGCTTTCTACGCAAAAGAGCCTCGAAGTGGCTGAACTTGCCGACATCTTCACCTCTCGTCTGCTGAGCGAAATCCCCGACGCTCTGACCTTCCTCCTTAATGCACTTCTCGAAATCACCACCCTCCACACCGTCAACCTCTCCGATAATGCCTTCGGCGCCAACACCCAGAAGCCCCTCGTCGACTTCCTTGCTCGCCACACCCCGCTCCGCCACCTGATCCTCAACAACAACGGCATGGGCCCCGAGGCGGGTTCGAACATCGCGAAGGCGCTTACAGAGCTGGCTCAGCGCAAGGAGGAGGCCCGTAAGGAGGGCAAGGAGGTGCCTCTTCTCGAGAGCATCGTCTGCGGTCGCAATCGCTTGGAGAACGGCAGTATGGCGGCTTGGGCACGTGCCTACGAGGTTCACGCTGCCGGCATGCGCTCCGTCAAGATGACACAGAACGGTATCCGTCAGGAGGGTATCTCGATGCTGCTGAAGGATGGTCTTCGCCACTGCTCTGCTCTGGAGGTTCTCGACTTGCAGGACAACACTTTCACCATCATGGGCTCCACCGCTCTTGCTGGTGTGGTTTCCAGCTGGCCCTCTCTCCGTGAGCTGGGTGTCAGCGACTGCTTGCTGTCCGGCCGTGGTGGCGTCAAGGTCGCTCAGGCTCTGGCTGAGGCCAAGAACCAGAAGGTCCAGACGCTGCGTCTGCAGTACAACGAGATCACCGCCGAGGGTGTCAAGCAGTTCCTGCACGCCACCAAGACCGCTCTTCCTGCCCTGCGTCGTATTGAGCTGAACGGTAACATTTTCAACGAGGATGACAACAACGTGACGGAACTGCGCGAGATCCTGGAGGCCCGTCAGGAGGAGCACGGCCAGGACGATGATCCGGAGGACATGTGGGGTGTCGACGAGCTGGACGAACTTGAGGAGGAGGAGAGCGAGGAAGAGG